CTGTATAATACACAAGAAATTTTATTAGTTACATCATAATATTCACCACATGCCTATACAAGAAAATGACGGTTACCACCATGACTACATTAAACTCGAACCGAACTGAAAGTACGAATCATTGTATTTATTTTTATTCTTCTGGACTTGATTGAATTGAAAGCTAATATATGTAAAATAAAAAAAAATGATATCATTCTTGAGCTTTTAAATTAAAAAAAACAAAATGGCACATGTATATTGTACCTATCGTACTAGGATAAAAAAATCTCGAATATACCGGAACTTTATTCAATTATTCCAAATTACATTTACATGTTGTGTCCAAATCACAATCTGTCCAAATGACAATCGGTGGTGATATGTCACAATCAAAATCCTAACAATAAAACAATATCGATATTCCAGGACTGACCTATACCTTTTTTACTCTAACGCTAATTCTGGGGCGATTTTTATTTAGAACAAATGTGCATGTGCATGTACATCGGAACATGCCGAGCGTATACCGATGTCCTTATTTGAAATTTGATCTACGCGCGTTTAAATGTAATTGTGGTATACCTATTATTCATTAGCAAAAAAAATCTTCCCCGTCTCTAGCAATCTGTCATTGCAAACGTTATCCAAATCATGTTCAATGTCTATTATCATTCACATGGTTAAATTTCTTGTTTTTAAAAAACCAGTATTTGCGGTGCTATCTTCCTTAAATGGTATCTGTATTACAATGGTATTGACATTTAGCCAAATGGCATATATGTATTTTTCTTACATGTACAAAAATGTCATCATAATGATAATGCTTATTTTCTAGTATAATGATTCCATTTCATCTATGAAAGAAATCCGAAGTTCCGTGTATAAATAATCAATTTTAATCTGATTATTGGCAAAAAGGTTGGATGACGTACAATTTTGTTTCTATTTTTAAAAGCTTTTATCCAAATAAGCACATGCAATACTGTGTTGCTGTCCGTCAAAAAAGCTAGAATAAATATGTCAAATAACCAAATCTTTAATGTTAATACAATGATCAGCTAAAAATGAGTTAGTTAAATTAGATGGCTGCACTGGATTTCTTAAAGGAATAAAATTCAGTCCAAGCCATTCAGAGGCAGCAATAAAAAAGAGACTTAAAAGGGAATTTTGTTCGTAATGGTAACCTTTTGGCGTAACGATGATAAAAATGCCAAGATAAAAGAGATTGTGCTCCGTAGCCAAGATAAAAATTCAATATAAAAGAGGTGCTACTCGTCGCGACAAATTTCTTTCCTCACTCATCTCTGAATAATAATAATTTAATAAATACAAACACGAAAATCTCAAAATGATTAAAAACGCAAATATCTTCTTGATCATTGCTTTGATCTTTAGCTTGTTTCTCTCCTCTTCAATTGGAGCTCCGTCACCAACACTCAGAAAACGTGCAACTTGGCCACAACTCGTAGCACGCGCAAGTTATAGAACGTCAAACACTTCTCTTTTCGGCGAGTTCACATTTAGTCAACTCTCAGAGCAATTCACTCGTGTGCTCGGACAAATCAACTCCGGATTCAATGATACAAATACAACCGACTACAAATTCTTAATTACTGGCAATAAAAACGGAACTAATGTAATCAAGGTTTTGAACCCAAATTTCACTGTTAATGCACCACCAGGAGGCTCTTCTGCGATCCAATTGGACGTCGCAGATATCGCACTTCAACCTAATTTAACTCTGAAAAATAATTCGGGTGTCGCGACGGATGTTCATAACAAATTCCTTAGTATATTTAATAATAAGACTTTATTGGGAAGTGCACCAATTCTTATTGAACAATAATTTTGACATTTGTTTTCGTAATAAATCATATTGTATTTAAATCTTAACGGACAATACTTATACTAATTAGAAAAATTACATGCTAAATAATAAGCATATAATTTATTCATTTTATAACAATTATTGATGGTGGGGGGGGAAATACATTGAAATTAGGATTTTCGTTAAATTTTCATGCTATGTGAAAATATCTAATTAATTCTCTGACATCAGATCTGTATTTGCTTTGAGTTGATTGAAATAAAATATATTTTTTTAATTATAAAACACGCTCTACAATTTGATTTAGAATTCCTTAGTGATCAATTTATTGGCCAACCAACTCAGTGACCACTTTTTAAGAGGTCAATGATGGTAAATGGCGCTTTGATCACTGGATATTGAAGCAAAGTCTGATTAATCAAAAAATCATAATTTCAAAAATTACTCTTTTTAATTCACGATCCGAACCGTCTACGCTTTTTAAAAGAACTTTTAGAGGGCAGTGACTCCAGTCGCAAAGAAGAGAGCCAAAACCTCTGAATATTTGCCACTAATCATTTGACAATGCCGCCTACCGGGAAGGCAGGTTAAGCAATCCGTTAGATTTTAGTTGAACTTGAATTTTTAAAGTATTTTGATAACGCCAGCACTAATCCTGATAAGATGTCATTAAATGCTCCTGATCATTTATATCTATCGGGTTGATTAGACCAAAATCAGCAGTGAAAGCATCGATAGCGTTAATATATTTCCAGTATGGTAGTCACGAAGCACAAGTTCTCTTTTATGAATTATTTTTTAGAGCATTGATAATTATTTATGATCACCACCACCTTTGCGTAATCGAAGAGTATCAGAAAACAAAAAGCAACTTATACCTTAGAAAATGTTTATTTTTACTTCGTTTAATTTTTCCATCTCGTTTAAATTTATTCACGCAAGATTTCAATAAGGGTAATTTAATAGTTCAACCAGGTTGCTTTATAATTGGCCCAAACCTCCTTTTGCAAGATATTTAACGTTGGTAATCTTTCAAAAGGAATCCATTCGAATAATTTTGACCCTTTAGGTTTATCAAATTCTTTACTAGATTATCTCCGTTAGACAGTACAGCTCATCATTATAAATTCGTTTTTGATATAAAAAACATGCATAACAGTTCCAATTTTTTTAACATCTAGTACAGTACATCGCACTAGTAAGGATTTTCTTGATATTTAGTACAACGATGAGTATTCGATTCTATCTTTGAGTTCACTTTATAAATGCGAAGTTCACCATATAATGCATTTATTATCATCAAGTAATCGTTTGTAACTGGGGTTTTTAGTCATTCCATAATATGCTATCATGTAGCATTTGAGCCTAGTATCTATTTTTGAAAAATTTGATTGTATCAGAAAACAAAAGCTACTCTAACTTTAGAGAATTTTTATTTAACTCTTGATGTGAATTGTATAATCTTTCAACAAAACTTTTCTTTCATCTCTTCGTTTAAATTTATTTTCTTCGTGATCCCAGATGGAATAGTAGCCATATTCATTATAATATATTGGTCTATCCAAACGGGTTGCTTTATAAGTTGTTCAAAACCTTCTTTTGCAAGATATTCAACGTTGGTAAACCTTTCAAACGAGAATCCTTTCGAATGTATTTGTGATATTTATAATTAATTTTGCTGCATACTTTTATTATCTTTAATTCCGCTAAACAATTCATCGTTATAAATTCATTTTGATATAAAAAACCGTCATCGCATTTCTTATTTCCTTGACATTTTAGTACATTTACTACAATCTTGAGTAAACACTTATCGCAGCATTTATTCTCTTGACAAAAACTGGTGTTCATTTTAAGTCACCGGATACATGTGAAAGCGGGATAATTGTTGTCGTTATATACAGTTGGCGTCATAAGGATTCGGAAGTTTTTAAATTTGCATATCAATTATTTGATAAAGAATGAATATAATTACATATAAATTTACAAATATATATTTTTTGATATGAAGAACAAAATTACTTAAGACATATTGGTACGATACCTTATTAAAAATATCATTAAATTGTAAAAATAAAAACAATTGTAAATATAACTAATTTTATATTTTTATTGATCAATGAAAAAATGTCATAATTATGCCAAAATTTATAAATATATTCTTTATAATATAATGAATAACTTCACCTATAACAAAATAATAGAATTACTTAATAGTATTTTTAATAACATAAGCTCAATCTTTGTTGAATCTAACTTATTTTTTTTATAATCAATTTTATTGAGAAAAAGTGAACAATATGTAATTAATAATAATTTTATTGAGCAAACTTGATTTACAGATTATAAAGAAGATATGTCTAAATTATCAGATAATTTTTACAATTTTTCATTATTCTCAGCACTATATGAAAATTCCGAATCTTTATAACGCCTATACATGTAGTTTACGCACGTGTACATGCATGTGCATGTACACGTTTACCCCGATCAATGTGCCTTTATTTTCAGATTACACGTACTGAACATGTAATTATTCATTAGCGTTAGCAAAAAATGTAACTCTAGCAAGCTAACATTATCGTTATTCAAATGTGCGTGTTTATGATTAAAATTTCTTGTAGTACAGTAAATGTGGCGCTATTTTTATTTACATCCAATTTTGGGCAAAGTTTAAAAGATAAAAAAAGCGGCCCAGTTATAATTTGATTGTTCCTTTTTTTTTAGAACGTCGTCGTCATAATCTTTAAAATGTTAAATGTCGTCATATCGTTATGTTTATTTCTATTCAAAAGACTACTATTTATATGAATTCTGATTATCCATAAAAAAGATATCCTAACTAAGTGTAGTTTGACAAAAAGGTTTATCTTTTTTTTTCCTAATAGCTTTTATCCAAATAAGTACATATGTATCTAAAAATGAGTTAATTAAATTAGTGTTTGTATAATCTTACGCTATTAGTTAAAGGAATAAAATCAGTCCAAACATTCCGAGAAATCAAAATACCCATACTTATTTAAAAGAGACTTAAAATAGGAATTTCGTAACGGTAGCCTTTGCGTAAAGATGACAAAATACCAAGATAAAAAAATTCAATATAAAAGAGGTGCTCGTCGCGACACATTTCTTTCCTCGCTCACCTCTGAATAACAATAATTTAGTAAATACAAAAACGAAAACTCTCAAAATGACTAAAAACACAAATATCTTCTTGATCATTGCTTTGATCTTTAGCTTGTTTCTCTCCTCTTCAATTGGAGCTCCGTCACCAACACTCAGAAAACGTGCAACTTGGCCACAACTCGTAGCACGCGCAAGTTATAGAACGTCAAACACTTCTCTTTTCGGCGAGTTCACATTTAGTCAACTCTCAGAGCAATTCACTCGTGTGCTCGGACAAATCAACTCCGGATTCAATGATACAAATACAACCGACTACAAATTCTTAATTACTGGCAATAAAAACGGAACTGATGTAATCAAGGTTTTGAACCCAAATTTCACTGTTAATGCACCACCAGGAGGCTCGTCAGCGATCCAAATGGACATCCCAGATATCGCACTTCAACCTAATTTAACTATTAAAAATAATTCGGGTGTTGCGACGGATGTTCATGACAAATTCCTTAGTATAGTTAATAAAAATACTTTATTGGGAAGTGCACCAATTCAAATTGAACAATAATTTTGACATTTATAAATATCGGACAATAATTATTCTAATTACATCCCAATTAATAAAGCATATAATTGTAATTTTAATTCATCCTATAACAATTATTGGTGGTCGTGAGAAACATAACTACATGTATAGGAAAAAATTAGTATATTCGTTCAAATTTTTTTATACATGTATTTGCTTGTTGATTTAATAAAATGTTTTCGTAATTATAAAACACATACATTACAATGTCACTTTCCGTACATTAAATTGTTAAATAACCAATTCAGTGAAATTAATATTGAGTTCGAAGTAAAGTTTCTACTGATGTGAACTACATTTAAATGAGTCTGTTATTTTTTGATATTATTAGTATTAGGAATGTTTTTTTGTGATTTCATCCTATCGTTTTTTAACCTTTTTCATTCTACCATATTTTCGCGAAATAATGTCTGGGCGTTATTTCGAAAATCGTATTCTTTAAAAATAACATACATGGTTTCAAAACGCTCATGGGCGTCCCGAAATGACGTGCACCCCCCCCATAACGTTGAAAAACTTGATAATTTTTTTTTAATATAAATTGGGTCTCAGCACAACCTCAAACTCCTTGTCGTCATTCTTGAATCCGTTTCCAGTCGATTTTGTAAGTAGCTTCTTCATATGAAATGACCTCAAGTTTAAGCGCAATAGTTATAACTTCGTTTTGTGCTCATGCTCACTTGTAATGTTCACTTGTAACTAAAGCAAAAAACTTGCACACGAAACAAGCAAAAAAATAACGTACACATTTTATATTATGGGTGTTCGTCGTGTAATACATAAAAGGAGACTTGAAAATGTAAGATATAAATGCGAGTGAAAATAAATAAATAATAACAAGAAAAATAAAAATGCTAATATTTTCAAAAAGTTAATATCATTAGATATGCAGCGTTACATGTACATGTATTTTGAAGATACTACGAACAATTATCTTGGAAGCAAAAAATTTTGGATTATCAGAAATCTAGGAAACATTCATAAAGAACTTGGAAATATATTAATGGATTGCAACCTCTGATTTCAGCCTCTAGAAAAATATATGGAATGGGCGCGTTATTTCGAGTACACGCATGTTAAACCTGAGTTGAAATTAATATACATGTATTTGCGAAGATCACCATCTTCTACAAAAGTCATTACTCGCTTGTAACTGAGTTTTAGCTATCTTAGGGCATCAAATAATGATTTTCAAGACTGTATTTAAAAATCTAATTTTGAAAAATTAATTGTATTGGAAAACAAAAGTAAACTGGCTTTCACAATTTAAGATGTTCATTTACTTCGTTTATAAATTCCCGTGTGCTTTGCTTTGCAATGTTTAATGTTTACACATTTCTTATCTCGTCATAATCCGATTCTCCAACTAATGATCCTTCCAACCAGGTTGCTTTACAAATTGTCCCAAAACCTCTTTTAAAAGACGTATAACATTTGTGAATTCGAATATTTCATTTATAATTTTTTGCATTCTTTTATTAAATTGTCGATTATTTTATCTTCGTTTGACCATTCAAATTTGTGATAGTTAAAACATCCATCGCAGTTAATGATACCTATTGTCATGATGGCGAAACATTTCGTCATGTCATTCGTCAGACGAAACCCATGACGATTGACGAAACTCACGACGATTGACGAAACCCGTGACGATTGATGAAACCCGTGACGATTGACGAAACCCGACGATATAACAATTGAATGAAACAAAAACTTTTAACCAAATAATAACTTGTTTATTTATTTACACGACGTGGCTTTCGAAGAGCTATTGGTAAATTATTATTATCATTATTATTATTATTATTATTATTATTATTATTATTATTATTATTATTATTATTATTATTACTGATATTATTATCATCATCATTATTACTATTATTATCACCACCTGTATTATTATCATCACCATCACCATTATCATTATTATTATCCACGTTATTATATCATTATTACTATTGCTATTATTTTCATTATCATCGTCATTACTATTACTATTATTATTATCATCACTTTCTTTTTTCATTTTCCCATTCCTTTACTAAATCTATTACTAAATCTATTACTAAAACTTCCAGATTAAAATCAAGTATACCTTGTCCTTTCTTACTTTTGATAATAAATTCATTGTCATCAATTTCCTCCTCACTATCAACTTGTGATTCTTCGCTATCAATATCAAATTCTTTGTCCTGGAATGCTTTATCATTTAAATGTACCATATTTTCAGTATCTAATTGATTGATGACTTCTAAATGTTCTGAAAAAGTAATATCATCCATTTCTAATTCAGTATCTTCTGTATTTTTCATAGTATCCTTGAAAAGAAATGTTGATGATATTACTAATTCTTGTAAATTATTAGGTAATAATTCTTGACCAAAAAAAGCTAACTCATTTTTCATATTTGAAATATAAAAAGATTGAATTTGTGCTATAGCTTAAATCCAAAATAAAGAAAGTTGTTGTCATCATTTTCCATATAGTTAACCTAAGACTGAAAAGATTCTTTCATAATTAACAGAATGAAATGTAATTGAAAAGATTTTAATAGCTAATTTATCAATAGATTTTGTACCAGTAGAATTTGTCATTTATCATAGCAAAGAAGTATTATTTTTGAAATAATATAACAAGTCAAATCCAGTCTTTTTTTCTCAAAATGCTTGTATATGAGCTACAAGATTTGCACATTCATACTGATCATGTTCTTCTTATTGTCATATTTTAATTACACTTCTTGCAATAATTTGAAATTGTTATTTATATAAATTAATACCTAAATAATTATATAATTATAACCTAAATAATTATATAATTATAATTATAAATATTTTAAAAAATTTATAAAAAATAAATTAATAACTTTATTAGTAATTTAATTTGAAAAATCTTATTATGATTTAATTTATTTATAATTATAACAAATCAGATCACTAAAATACAAGATATTGCATATTAAAATTAAACTTCAGAATATGATATTTATATTTTAATAATTTAATTTAAATAATTTTAATTTACTTAATTATAATAAATTAAATAGTAATAAAATTATTATAATCAAATTATCAAATATAAAATTATATGATTTTTATTAAATTAATAATTATCTTATAATAATAATCTGGATAAAAAAATATGCTAATAAATAACCATCTATATCAAATTCTTTCCATCTTTGATTGAAAGATTGTAAGTAATGATTTTTAAAAATATTATTTTGATTATTTGAAATTATTTTGATTATAACAGCTAAGCAAATAAGTTATATAAAACAATTAGTCAAAGTTATTAATTATAACTCTAAAATTATAATTATAATTTGAATAAAAGCTAAAATTTTGATTAAAATTTAAGATTTAAGAAAAAATATGATTATTTTAGAATTTATTTTATATTTTAATTTGTAATTATATGTAATAATTTTGATTGAATTATCTTTCTTTAGAACTCTTTTAGTTTAGATCTTCATTTTGCACTATCTATATAACAGATTGGCTTTGTATTATATTTTTAAGAAGATTAATTTCACTTTGGATACACAAATGATCATTATGTATTTAATACATCTAGATTTAGCATATTATTACTTAGATGATCACCATGTGTGGCACAATTATTAATTTAGATTATTAATATTTTTCTTTTAATAATTCTTTATTTTCTTACTCGTTCTCTTTTATTATTATTTATATTTAATTTAGTATATTTATAATTATTATTACTTATTAGATTATGATTAGTTGTTCTCTGAAGATGCAAATTAAGTTAATTAATTCTGTTCAACTTATATGTATTTTATTTATAGATTATTATTAATTTATTTGTATTTTGTATTCATTTCTTTTATTATAAATATAATCTGTTTGTTCTGTAAAATAACTTCAGATCTAAATACTTTTAAATAATAAAAACAATCCTATATTATAAAATTAAAACTTATTCATTTCATATTTTATCTTGTTTATAATCATTAACAAAATAATCTTACTACTTGGTAGTAATAAACATGATTATTACAAATACTATTCTCTAATACCTTACATATTACATCACATACTATATACTTTACACATATATATTTTAGTTTTAATAAATAATATTTTGCCAGAATAAATTCAAAACAATTCACATAATTTATAACAAGCATGACTAAATTAATTAAGATAGTAAAAAAAGATGGTCCCTCTGATCCTAAATCTTTATCTCATCTCTCAATTAAATTACTAACTTACTCAGAAGAGCCAAATGAAAATGTACTTGTCTGAATCATGCAAGTTAAAATAATATTTCAGATTCAGAAAATCACAGATAAGAAAACTCAAATACAGCATGCTATCACTTTCTTGACTAATGTAACTTTACATTGATATCTCAACAAAGTCAAGATAGATAATAGTATTGAACTCTTTAAAAATTGGCAAGCTTTTATTATAGTATTAAGAGAAGCTTTTCAACTATCACATTATCAATAATATCTTTATAGACAATTTTATCTTCTTTGTCAAATAGGATCTGTACAAGACTATAATATAAAGTTCAGAAATATAATTGGATAAATTACAGATATGAGTATTTTAGACCAGATCACATATTTTATAGAAGATCTAAAACCAGCTAAAAAGATAAAAATAAGTTATCAGATATCAGAAACATTAAAAAAAGCTTGGAAATTAGCTATTTACTATGATATAGTTATATATAGGCAAGGCAGATCTCTAGATCTATCAAGCAGAAATAATAATAGTCATTACTTTCAGAATCAACATAAAAGTTATCAAAATAATAGCTCTATATCTATGGAATTTAACCAGGCAGAGAGTTATTATAATAACAGAAAGAATAATAATAATCAAAAGAATAATAAGCCAAAAGATATCTGTTATAACTGTAACAAATTAGATTACTTTATCAAAAATTATTATTTAAAACCAAAGACCAAAATTGCAAATATAGAAGATAAGTAAGAAGAATTT